GGGGCCTGGACATGTCCCACCACGACAGGACAACAAAGAGGCGGGCTGAGCGCTGTGAGGTGAGGGACACTGTCGGAGGGGACAGGGCGTGTGGGGTGACCCTTGCAACTTCCCCCGATGGCTCACACAGGGCCCTGCTGGCCCAGGTCACTGACCCTGAAAGGCAACACCTATCTCCGGTGTCAGGCGGAGTTACCCACGGACAGTCTGCTGACTAGAGAGGGGCTCCTGGTCTCAGACCGAGGGTGTCCTGCACCCTCCCCTGGTTCCAGCAGGCGGGACCTCTCCGAGCTGCCATGGGCCACTCACCTCGCCCTTCTTCACCGTCATGGACTGCCGGCGGGGCGTGATCTCCTCGTTGATGCTGGACAGGAAGTTCTGCGAGATGCGGAGGGCGTCCTGCAGCAAGGAGTGGTCGGGGTGGCTGGGGGGAGTGTGCTTCAGCAAGTCCTGGCCCCGGGAGGAAAGACTCAAGTTAGACAAGAGGACAACGCTGGCACCAACCACGCCCCCAACACAGGGCATGATCCAGAGCCGCCAGCTCCCCGAGTGTCACCGCCACCTCTCTCTACAGACTCAGCTTTGCAGATGTGCTCATGTGAGCACCCCCCAAGTAGGCAAGCCCTGATGGCACTCCGGCAAACCCATGCCGTATGCGCACCCCCACTGCGAGGGTCTAGGGCATGGTTTCCTGCCCTCGGCTGTTGGTATTTTGGGTGGGATGACTCTCATTTGATGGTGGTGGGGAGACGGCGCTGTGGATCGTAGAATGCTGAGCACAGCCCAGGCCTCTCTCTGCCCATTAGATGCCAGTGGCGCCCTTTGGCTACAGTGAGGACAACTGAAAATGTCTCTGGACATCGCTGTGCTTCTTGGGGAGCGGAACCGGCTGCCACCCAGTGCACTGGTCTTAGTCTGTGTAACGTCAGAGAAAGCCCACGGCCTTCCCAGCTCCTCCTCTCTAGACAGGACTCTAAGTCTCTTCTGAATCCAGATGGGAACCTCGACTCCTCCTCCACTAGAAATGCACATCATCCGTGCGCAAGGTCAACAGCTCTGCTTCAGAGAAACAAAATCCCCTGAGAGCCCAAATACTATCTGCAAAGAGAACCTGAAGGGCGGAAATGAGCCCAGGGAAGGCTCTTAGATTGGTGGTGATGGCCGGCCCTTCCCTGCCCTGACAGGCAGCTCTGCCTTCTCCTGCCATGAGGCTCAGCCATGCAGGCCAGGACTGCAGACAGGCGCCTCCAAGAAGCCAAGGGGCCACCTCATCACTGCCTCTCGGCCACTCATCTCATTTCCCTTGGTCCAAATGGGACCATGGTAAAAAAAAATTACGAATCGGGCCAGCAGGTGACGTGAATCCTACACAGCTAACTGCCCGGCTGAGTCCCAGATCTAGCGGCCTGAAACATGCCGAGCACCTGGGTGTCCATGCCCAGAATCCTGAGAGGAGAATGGAGAAGAAGCAATTATGGTGTGGCCATCCCCTTGGGGCGGGATTTCTCACTTTTTCTCTCTATGTCTCTCTCCAATAAGCACACATGCCGTATGGCACAAACAAAAAACAAAAATTATGAACCATCCACTCAGTGGAATACTATGCAGCTTAAGAAAGAAGTAGGCAGAACTTTTTGGAACAAAGTGGAATAATCTCCCCAATATATTAGGTTTTTTTTTTTTTTTTTTTTAAAAAAAAAAAAGAAGAAGCAAAGTGTGGAATATGTATAACGTGACACCTTCTGTATAATTTTTTAAACGTAATGTATTTTATTTTATTTATCATTATTGTCTTGAAATTTGCTCTAGGGCATGTGTGTTCATGACAGACAGAGAAAGCAAGCCACCAGGTCTGGGACTAGAACCACAATCAGCCAGGTGGAAGTCCAGTGCCTTAGCCACCATGCCACCACCTACTGGAGCCCCTTCTATGGAATTTAAGAAGACGTTCATGCATGATGATGCATGTGGTGGTGATGGGCTCCTCCGTGAGGAGGGAGTGGGAAAGGAAATCGAAACTTCATGCGCTGCTCGGAAATGATCAGGACTTTAAAACACAGACATTAGAAACGTATTTTAAAAACGTGTAGCTTGGGCCAGCTGGTAGTGTGGGTGAGGCAGCTGGAGCCACATGGCGGGACTGTGTGGTTTGTATGAGGTTTTGTGCGGTTTGTGTCCCACGCTAGCAGCACACTGGGCACATGGGCGTGCCTGCCCAAAGTCCCTACAGGAGAAATGAAGAGGGGATTGGGGCGTGCCCATTAGCCACGGAGGAGGGGTGTGCACTGTCTGTCTCTGTCTCTGGTGAGTACAAGTGCTCGTTAGCCCCCCCACCAAAAAAAAATTGTAGCAAATACTAATAGGGTCTCCCATGGAGAAGAAACAGTAAGGGCTATTTTCTATTTTCCAGGGTTTTTTTTTTTTTTAAAGAATTATTTAATTTGGGACCAGTTGATGGCGTAATGGTTAGATCACTGGACTCCCATGTAGTTGACCCTGGCTCAAGTCCTGGACCCAGCAGCTTAAAACTCATGTAAAACTGGGCACGTGGGGACCAGCAGTTGGTGTAATGGCTATGTCGCTGGACTCCCACGTAGTCGACCATAGTTCACGTCCCGGACCTGGTGGCTTAAACTCACGCTGGGCGTGCATGCGTGCGTGCCCAAGATCCCGAGAGGAGAATGGAGGAGAAGGGATTGCGGTGTGGCCATCTCCCCTGTGGGGTGATTTCTCACTTTCTGTCTGTCTCTGTCTGTCTGATGAGCGCACACATCCTATAGCAAAAACCTCTAAAATAAAAAACAAAAAAAACAAAAAAACTGGGTGCTTGTGCATGTGTGACCAAAATCCTGAGAGGAGAATGGAGGGGAAGAGACTACAGTGTGGTCACCCCCCGACCCCGGGGGTGATTTCTCACTTTCTCTCTGTCTCTCTCTTTCTCTATTGAGTGCGCACACCCTACAGCAAAAAACCTCTCTAAAAAATAATAATAAAAATTTTTATATATTAAATCACTATACATCACTTAGCTTGTAAAGTGGCAACTTTAAAACTTAATATATATATATATATATATATACACACACACACACACACATATATATACACACCCCTATATGTATATATGTATATATTAAAAAAAAAAAGAAATCATAAGTTGAACTGCCCCAAGTTTGGGACTGTGTATTAGGAAGAGCCCTTCAGGGGCTCCCTAAGGAGGTGGGGTGCCACGGCTGTACCCTCTCCCTAAGCTGGCAGGCAGGTCCGACCCACGGTCCCTAGAACGCAGCTGCATGGACACCCCCACCGTCTCCACCTGGGGCCTCAGCTCACGCACCACAAGGGTCATGGCCCTTCCCCACCTGCAAGCCCTTGTCTGAGCGGGACAGGATACTCCTTCCCTGGTGCTCTGGGGTGAATGCCCCCACCCCGATGGAACACCTGGGGACACGTGGAGTGCCTGCTTACATTCTCCCTGCACCCCATTCTGTGAGGCCCTAGAGGGCGGTGGGGCCTCATTTCTACGAGGCAGAGAAAGGGGCGGTGGTGGGTGACGGATGAGCAAAGGACAAACAGCACAGTCAGTCCCAGGACAGAAGCGAGGACTGCAGGTGAGAAGGCCCTGGCTGGGCCTGAGGAGAAAGGGCGTGCCCAGACCACTGGGGGAGGTGGCTGCTGGGCCCTGGGACACTGCAGGGCGCGCTGACTCACGTGAAGGACCAGTGTGCTTCTTGTCACCCGGTCCACAGGCTTGTAGAGCAGGGCTGTGGAGACACAAGCAGAGTGAGGGATGGCCACGCAGAGAGAGCAGACCGCCCGCCTGCCCCTCTGTACTCCAGGGGCAAGGGGGAAGAGGGCAGCCCGACCGCCACTGGCCCCATCCCCCCTCTGCGCAGGGACAGGGACAGGTGTATCCAGAGCCCCTGCCCGGAAAGCTTTGACCTTTAATTGTAGGACAGGAAATGCCGAGTCCAGAGCTGCTGGTCAGACCTGCGAATGCAAGGCCGACTCAGTGACGCCAGGAGGTGAGGCTCCCCTCACCTGAGCTCAGGCTCACGACCTGTCCCAACCCTGGCGGGAGACCCACTCTCCAGCCCGGAGCGTACCCTGGGAGCTGACCAGGAGCCCACTGTCCGCATCGGTCTTTGGGAGGCCTGATTTAAACAGACAAGAACCGGCTCGGATGCCGACCCCTCTCGGTCTCACCTGTGCCCTGGGATGGGACAGTAGAGGACACTGGGCTCTCCTGCATGGAGCTCCTCCACAGTGGGAGCAGCTCCTACTTGCGAGGCAGGAGCCCCGGCCAGCCTGGACCACCTGCGCTTCTCTGTGACCTCAGCGAACACGACCCTTCACGTGGGTGCCTAGGTGTGTTCTGACCGGGCAGGTACATGTCCTCATGGGACTCTCAGCACTGCCTCCCTCATTTTCCAGGCGGGGAAACTGAGGCTCCGAGCGTGCTGTTCTCTGTGGGCAATGGCAGCTATTCACGCCGTCAACAGAAAGTTACCACCACTGTCCCACCCATTCTGGATTCAAACCCGCCTGCCTGCTTAGAACCTGGGTTTTACACAGGTCCACACTCGTTTCATCATTAGAAAAGAGGGAAAATAAAACTACCCTCGGGTGACACAGCGGTGCTGCAGCTGGTCCTGAAGCCCAGGGTCAGGGCTGGCTGAGTCTAGGAGGGTAACCTGTGGCTTGAGAACCCCATTGAGGGTGCCTGGACTAGTGTCTCTGACTCTGTCACTCCTCGTGGAAGAAATGAAGAAATCCTCCTTACAGGGCCATTGGGGACAACATGGTGACATTTTAAATGACCTCCTATAATTGGAAGATATCCTACCCCCCTAGATTCATGGGTTAAGCCACTGGAACAGTAGTAAGAGGGTGAGAATTAAACCCAACAAAGGTGATGCAAAGTCTTGGGAGGAGATGAGAATAAAGCTCATCAGAGGGACCTGGTGGGTTTCTAAGGACAGATGGACGCATGGAATCCAGCCCATGCTCTCTGCCCTCTGCCACACTGTGGTGCAGCCAGAAGACGCCCCCTACCACCACCAGAGAGGGACCCTGGCCCTCCAAACCGTGAGCTGACTGCACCGCTGAGCTCTGAAACCCTGACTCAGGTACTTCCTGTCATTAGCAGTGGAAGGGCTGAGACAGCAGGATCTGTTTGCACTGCTGCTGAAAAACCGTCCCGATGGCAGCTGCCCGCCACGCCCTGCCCCGCCCTGCCAGGCCCAAAGCTCCCTTTTCTCACCCCCACTCCCAATTGGGGTGACCCAACTGGGTACCATGTCTGCTTTTCCAGACACTCCCCATCTCCTGACAGGGTCTCCCCACCACAAGGGCCCGGAGAGGCCTCGGCACGGAGAACTCACTTTCCAGAGAGTTCTTGGTTGTCGCATCCTTGCCGTCCTTGTTGCTCCGGGCTCTCAGGTTCTGCAGAGAGAAAGGCACGTGCCGTGAGAGGCCGGAAGCAGCTCTGATGTGGCAGAAAGCGGACCCTTCTGCGGAACACTCGCCCTGCTCCCCCCACGAAGACCCCCAGATGCAGCCAACCTCAGGGTGCATTCTGAGCTGCTGACGGGAAACTGGGGTGAGCAGGGACCCACGGGCAGGCTGAGCGTGCAGGGCAGGGGACCACAGAGTGCTGCAGAGCCCTGATCTCTCCTCACAGGTGCAGCCGCACCTCCGACCTCCTGTCAGGACAACCACTCCGTCTCCAGGCCCTGCCTGTCCTCGAGGACAAGACTGCCCGACTGAGAACTCTGATAAGAGGATTGCAAACACAGGTGACCGGCAGCGCCTTTCCTAAACGCACGTCGCCACCTTCTCACAGCAATTAGCCTGCGGGAGGGCAGGGACCTTTGCGAGAAGGCCAGGGCAGTCCTCACTGCCACCCACCCTTTCCTCGCGTGACTTGCAAACACACTGGCTAAAAAGTAGGCATTAAGGGACCAGCTGGTGGCATGGCGGTTAGGGTGCTAAATCCCACACGGACGACTGTGCAGTTCCGTTCCGTATCTGGTGGCTTGGAAAACACACTAGGGATGTGTGTGTGCGTGCCCCAAGCCTGAGAGGAGAATGGAGGAGAAGGGATTGTGGTGTTTTTATCACCCTGGAGGTGCTTTCTCTCTGTCTCTCTGTCTCTTTTTGGTGAGAACACACACCCTATAGCCAAAAAAAAAGAAAAAAAAAAAAGAAAAAAAGGAGGCATTAAGAGTCTCAGGGTGGGGGCCAACAGGTAACATAGTGGTTAAGACACTGGACTCCTACATGGTCAACCACAGTTCCAGTCCTGGACCTGGCAGCTTAAAAATAATGCTGGGCGGGACCAGCAGTTGGTATAATGGCTATGTCACTGGACTGCCATGTCGTTGACTGCAGTTCAAGTCCTGGACCCGGTGGCTTAAACTCACGCTGGGCACATGTGTGTGTGTGTGTGTGTTGTGTGTACGTGCTGAGAAGGGATTGTGGTGTGGCAATTCCCCCTGGAGAGTGATTTGTTACTTTCTGTCTCTCTCTGGTGAGTGCATGCGACCTATAGCAAAAACCTCTCAAAAAAAAAAAAAGAACACTAAGCATGTATGCATAAGTCCCCAAATCCCAAGAACAGAATGAAAGAGAAGGGACTAAGAAAAGGGACTGTGCTGTGGCCATCCCCAGGGGTAATCTCTCACTTTCCCTCTCACTATCTCTGGAGAGCATAAGCACCCTACGGCAAAAACCTTAAAAGTACAAAATAAAGATTCCCACGGTGAAAACAGAGCATTTTGGTGGCTAGGCTGTGTTCCCATGACTGCGACCAACCCTAACACAGGCCACGATACAAAGAGAAACGAGGATGAAGGATCCCCTGGCGTCGAAACTCAGCTCTGGGAAGCAGCTGTGATGAACCCTAGGCCTGAACTTCGGAACAAAAGCCTGCAGCAGAGACGGAAGGGGGCTCCAGATCGCGCTCCCGGCCTCCTGCGCAGCTAAAACTCTCTGAAGACCCAAGGACGGTGTTTCCCAGCTCACTGGGACCCGGTCCCTTTCCTGACAGCTCCACCTCCCTCACAGGGAGGGCGTCGGCATCCTATGTACACCTGACGCAGCAGTCCCCGAAGGCTGTGAGGGGGTGTGAGAGTGAAACAAAAGAGCCTAAACCAGGCGCCGCGCTCACGGGAGCCGGGGGCGGCCCACGTTCCGCGTGCACCTGGACCGCGCCAGGCACGTGTGCACGTGAGTGTGTCAGCCTTCTGGGAAGTCCTGCTTCAAGAGCGCTTTGGCGTCTTGGTTTAACCCTACGTTTCCCAAACGTACTGATTCCAAAAGCCCTTTTCATGTAACCGCTTTGGTCTACTGCCTGGGAGCTGGTGTTCCGCGGAACCCCGTTTGAGCTACTCCGATCTCACTGGATGCTGGCTCGTGCCCATCTCCCAGGACTGGCCCCGGAAAAGATGAAGGATCACTACTCCACTGCTGGCTGTTCTGGAGGGTGATCCTCAGGACCCCCCCAACTGAGCATCACTGCCCCCGAACAGAGCCCCACGCCTCCACGTGTCCTGCTGCCTCCTCATCCTCGAGCTCGACTCGGCTCTCTTTGGGCAGCTCCAATTTCTCCAGGTCTTTTTTGTTTTGTTTTATTTTTGCTATAAGGAGTGTGCGCTCGCCAGAAACAGACAGAAAGCTAGAAATCACCCCCTAGGGAGGATGGCCATGCCACAATCCCTTCTGCTCCATTCTCCTCTTGGGATCTTGGGCACGCATGCACACACGCCTGGCATGAGTTTTAAGCCTCTGGGTCCAGGACTCGAACCACAGCAGACTACACAGGAGTCCAGTGACGTAACCATTACTCCATCTGCTGGTTGCATCTCTAGATCTTTTCTGAAACACAGATGCAGAGCCAGAGTGGATGTCGCCCTCACGGTTGAATCACTACAGAGGATCACAGAGGGCCGGCTTCCCTGCATCCCAGTGCTCGCTCACCTCTGTGTGCTCAGGTGACGTGTCCCCTCCCCGAGTGGGTCCACTGTGGTTACCCCCTTCCTCTGTGGAAACCTTTCAAGTGGACTAGAACTTGGCCACTGAACTGTAACCTGCTCCTAAAACATCAAGCCTGGGGGTCAGCAGGTGGCACAGTGGTTAAAGCACTGACATCCCATACAGGTGAAACCCCGTGGTTTGAAAATCAGGCTGGGTACATGTGCTTGCCCAAAATCCGGAGAGGAGAATGGAAGAGAAGGGATTGTGGTGTGGCCATCCTTCAGGGGGGAAAGGGGGGTGATTTCTCACTTTCCCTCTCCGGTCTCTCTCTGTCTCTCTCCAGTGAGCGCATGCACCTGACAGCAAAAACCTAAAAAACAACCAAAAAACACACAAAAGATCTAGCCTCTAATTTGTCAGAGTCACTGGGTATTCTGTGCCAACTTTCCGGCTGTTAGGGATTGGGGAGCGGCTGCTCATTTAATGAACAAGGGCGAGGGGAAAAAAACCCCAGATGAATGCCCCAGGAGAAATGTGGCAGGCAGGGTGGGATGCCTAGAGCCCTTGGGGCGTGCAGATCCTGTTCCCAGCAGCGCCGGGCAGAGCAGGATGTCCGTGAGTTCTGGAGGGACAGTGTGGCACACACCATGTCCACGGATGGCCAGGGCTCGTGACGCCATCCACTGGCTGTGATAAAGAAGAAAATGACACAAAGTCTCTGTAATCACGGCCGGGTGTGACGGTCACAGGCTGGCCCTTGGCCTGAGAGCCCAGACGCTCCCTATTTGTAGAACCTATTTCTCTTTCAAATGCTGCCTTTCTCCCAGGAGTCCCCATTAGCATCTCTGCTTGGTGGGGGAAAGGAAAGCCAGACATCAGAGCTCTGGGCAGTCAGTCATCAAAAGGCAGGAATGACTACAGGTCCCCAAAGAGGGAAATGTCACAGCTGCCATCAGACAGAGCCAACGGGGAAGGGCGGGAGAATTCCTGACTGCGAAGTGAAGGTCTGGGGGTACTGCTTGGGCACCAGCCCCTGGACAGCCCACTCTTCTCTGCATCAAAGGGGCTCTTTTGAGGCCCTGGGTGTTAATATTTGTTTGAGGTTTCACTCTTCTTGGGATTAAATGCAGGCAGGGAGACAGCGAGCCCTCAGCCCAGGGCCTGGGACAGCTCAGCTTCCACTGGGAGCTCTTCTCCCCACGCGCGTCTACAGAGCAGGCAACACGTGTCCCACTCCTTGGGCCAGATCCTCAACATCCCCAGATCACCAGCAGGAGGCATGGTGGTTAAGGGACTAGATATCGATATGGTTGACTACAGTTCAAGTCCCGGACCCAGCAGCTTGAAAATCATGCTGGGTGCATGTGTGTGCATGCCCTAAATCCCAAGAGAATGGAGGAGAATAGACTGGCATGGCCATTCCCTCCAAAGGGTGATGTCTCACATTTTTCCCTCTCTCTCTTCAGCAAGGACACATGCCTTATGACAAAAACCTTAAAAAAAAAAAAAAGATAGAAAAAACGAGTGTGACAACTGTCATCTAGACTCCAGTGGCAAGGTGCAAAGGACACCTCAGGACACCTGTGATGGGACCTCAGCGAGGCTGCATCCTGAACACCATTAACGGGCAGTACTATGGATGCCCCCAACTGCAGACACACGGGCTGACAGAGTGTCCAGGTAACCCAGCTGACGCCCAGCATTGGGTCGTGGCCCCTGGGGAGGCAGGGGACCCCGAGGGCTGCTCCTTCTGTCTGGTCACAGCAGCATTCGTGGCATGGGGCTGACGGAGCAACTGCAGTGTAACCTGGAAACAGCCGGGGCTCCCAGCATGCCTTGCTGTGGGGCCTGGTGTTCTCCTAGGCCAGGTTCTGCCAATGACCAGCCCCCAGCCCACTGTGGGAGGTGATTGGGTGGGGCAGGAGTCGGCGGTGCACCTGTCTGAAGGTATCACATCATTACCTCCGAGATTTCTGCAAACTGAGCGTTGGCCTGACAGCACTTCTCTGCTGTTTCCATGGCAACTCCGTAGTTGTCCACGAAGGCCCGGTACACACCCAGTTGGCTGGCCTGCAGGGAGGAAGGAAGAGAGTGTGAGATAGGTGTGGGACAGGTGTGGGACTGGAGGACAGGTGTGGCCACTGCCCATCCTCCTGGGCACGTCCTGCTCTGGAGAAAGCCCTGTACAGCAGACCATGCACAGGCTGTGGAAACCTCAGCTCCTCCCTGCTCTCCTTCCCACCTGCTTCCCTTCCCCACGCACCCAGCACGCTTCCGTCTCCCGAATGACACGTTGAGGAGTGACTCACAGCCCAGGCAGGTACCAGCTCCCTTCCAGAGCTGCTTATTTCTCCACCCCACTCACTCAGACGGGGCCATGAGCAGCGCTGAAGTGCAGGGCGTCAGTGAACTGCACGAGCGTCTCTTTGCAGGTAGGATGGAGCGAACCCTTCCCATTCTGACTACAGTGACGAGCAGCGAAGCCTCCCCAGCCTGCAACAGCTGTGGTGGTCTGCGCATGTCTGATCTCTTCAGAATATAAGAAGAGGGGCTCCCACCACCCAGACACCAGCCTGTCCTTGACCTGGCAAGGGTGCCCAGGTGCCACGCTGCCCACCTTACAGGTGGGAGACCTGCTAGCGATAAGGCAAGAGGCATTTTGTGTTTTTTTAGTTCGCCCAAGAGATGTTTGCTAGAGGGCATGTGTGCTCGCCAGAGACACAGAGCGACAGAAAAAAAAGTGAGAAATCATCTTGTTTTTTTTAGTTCGCCTAAGAGAGATGTTTGCTAGAGGGCATGTGTGCTCGCCAGAGACACAGAGCGACAGAAAAAAAAGTGAGAAATCATCTGCCGGGGGGATGGCCACGCCACAATCCCTTCTCCATTCTCCACTTGAGATCCAGGGCATGCAATGCACACACACCCTGCATCTTTTTTTTTTTTTTTTGAGACTTTTTTTTTTTTTTTTTTTACGGGGGGGGTGCCTCGCCAGAAAGACAGAGAGAGACAGAAAGTGAGAAATCACCCCCCAGGGGGGATGGTCACACAATCCCTTCTCTTCCATTCTCCTCTTGGGCACACACGCATACGCGCCTGGCGTGAGTTTAACCCACTAGGTCCGGGACTTGAACCGCAGTCGACTACATGGTACATAGCCATTACGTCAACTACTAGTCCCATGATTTTCAAGCTGCTGGGACCGGAACTCGAACTAGTCAGCCATGTGGGAATCTAGTGCCTTAACCACTATGCCACTTGCTAGCCCCATGTTTTATTTATTTATTTATTTATTTATATTTTTTGGAGAGATTTTTGCTATAGGGCGCGTGCACTCGCCAGACAGACAGAGAGAGACAGAGAGACAGAAAGTGAGAAATCACCCCCCAGGGGGGATGGTCACGCCGCAATCCCTTCTCCTCCATTCTCCTCTCGGGATCTTGGGCACGCATGCACACGCGCCCGGCATGAGTTTTAAGCCACCGGGTCCGGGACGTGAACCGCGGTCGACTACGTGGGAGTCCAGCGACATAGCCATTACGCTAACTGCTGGTTCCCTAGCCCCATGTTTTATTAAGCCAAAGGCATTATATAAAGGTCTTCTCGCTTAGGTTCCTGTTCAGATGCGGATTCAATTGAGCCACAATCTCCACGTGTGTGCGCGCATATGCGTGTGTAGCCACCACTTTCTCTGGGACTCGCATCACCTTTAAGGGCAGCAAGGAGGAAATCAGTGCTCATGGGGGAGGGGTGACCCCAGGCTCGAGGAGGGAAAAGGCAGACCCAGGGACCCACTGGCCGGGCCGGAACCTCCCATCAGCACAGCCTAAGGCATTCACTGCTCCTGCCATTTGTTCTGTGTCAAACCTAAATTTTATTTATTTCCACTCACATTTGCATTTATATTGAATTTTATGTTTCCACAGATGATGACCCCAGACACCGGGTAAACTAGGCGCCTTCGGCACTGTTTGGTCTTCCGGCCCTGCTCTGTGTGGGGGCTGCACGGAGGGTACCCGAGGAAAGAGCAGCCACCAGGGGATGCTCTGCTTGGCCCGAGCACTCTGACCACACGCTGACCACCCTGGGTAAGTCGCTGCAGCCTCACATTCCAGGGTCTTCCTCGTCGGTACGATGATGAAACCCAGAGCTCGCTCTTCTTTTTCGCCTCCCTCACACCGGCCACCAAAACGAGGGCCCTGTCATCACAGCTGTGAATAATTCAGCCTCACCCTCTGCAGCAGGTGCTCGGCCAGGAGCGTACACGATAAATGAGTGAGCAAACACACACGTGACAGGGCGGCAGATGGCAAGAGCGGGACAGGAGTTGGGAGCAACAGGACTGCTCTGGAGAAGGTGGCAGGCTCGTGGTGTCCCCATGAAGAGGGGGTGACCAAGCAGGGTCCCTTTCTATGGCTTTTCCTTCCCCTCTCTGTACCCAAGAGGTACACAATTCCTGGGTGGCTAGTGAGGAATTCCAAGCAAGTCATTTCCAAATGTTTGACTAATCAAAAACAGTGGTGGGCCAGCCAGTGGAGTGGGGGTGGCTGGGTCCCACAGGGTTTACCGTGTGCTTTGAGTCCTAGACCTGGAGGAGTAAAAAACGTGCTGAGTGTGGGGCCAGCAGTTAACGTAATGGCTATGTTGCTGGACTCCCATGGAGACAACCGCAGTTCGAGTCCCGGACCTGGTGGCTTAAACTCACGCTTGGCGCATGTGTGTGTGTGCCCAAGATTCTGAGAGGAGAATAGAGGAGAAGGGATTGCGGTATGGCCAACCCCCTGGGAGGGACTTTCTCACTTTCTGTCTTTCTGGCGAGTGCACGCACCCTATAGCAAAAACCTCTTAAAAAAAAAAAATCGTGTTGGGTGTTGGGCCTGTCAGTGGTGTGCTGGTGGGGGTGGCTGGGCCCACATGGCCATTCGACTATGCAGTTCGAATCCCAGACTCGGCAGTTTGAAAAACACAACAGCTGTGTATGTGTGCATGTGTGCCCAAAATCTCAAGAGAAGAATGGAGCAGAAGAGATTGTGATGTGGCCATCTTCCCAGGAGGTGCATTCTCCCTCCCTCCCCTTCCCTCTCTAGTAAGTGCACGCACCCTCTAGGAAATTGGGGTGGGGGGGATCATAAGCTACCAAGCTGCACCACCACAACGGCATGAATGAAGATCCTGTGGCTTTGCTGGGACAGTCTGAGGAGCATACAGCTCACTGTCTTGCTACTGTTGTGTGTGTGTGTGATTTTTTTTTTTTTTTTTTTGCCAGAAATGGAGAACCCAAACCCACTGCTAAGGAATCAAAGCTGAACTGCACTCCAAAAAATGGCAAGGTCATGAAAGTGAAGCAGGGACCAAGAAAGGGGTCCAGAGAGAAGGGAAGTAAAGAAATGTAACAAATGAGTGCATAACCCGATCCTAAATCAGAAGGAAAAGGGTAAACCACGGGGCCAGAAGGTGGTGAGCAGTCACGTCGCTGGACTCCCACATGGCCGGTCACAGTTTGAGTCCTGGCCACAGTGACCCAGTGGCTTGAAAATCACACCGGGTATGTGCGTGTGCATCCCCAGGAGGGGAATGAAGAAGGGATTGTGGGAATGGCCATCCTCCCTGGGGGGCCATTTCTCACTTTCCCTCTCACTGTTTCTGTCTCTGTCTCTCTCTCTGGCGAGCACATGTGTCCTATGACAAAAACTTCTTTAAAAAAAGAAAATGGCAAACCAGCCCAGGACGTGGTGGTTAAGTTGGCTAGCTCCCATGTGGTCGACTGCAGTTCAAGTCCCGGATCGGACACACCAGGCATGTATGTGTACATGCCTACCATTCTGAAAGGAGAATGGAAAAGAAATTGCAGCATGGCTGTCTCTCATGGAGGGTTGCTTTCTTGTTTTCCTTTTCTTTCTGGGGAACTCACGAGCCCTCTGGCAAAATTAAGAAGAAAAAAAAAATAGAAGATATAAGAACGCAATTGTTCATTTGGGGGAAATTTGCATATGGGCTGCATATTAAATAACAGTATCACATCCGTGTAAAATGTCCTGAAATTGAGAAATCATCCTGTGGGTTATGGAAGAGAATGCCCTTGTTCTTAGCAAATACACAGTGAAGTGGGGGAGGGTGGGGAAGGCAGATGTCTGTAACTTACTGTCAATCTTTTCAGGGGAGAAAATAAACTAGTGTGTGTACGTGGGTATGTGCGCATACTCAAAAGGCAAAAGGAGATAAAGCAGATGCAGAAAAACGTTACAGTGTAGCCGGGTGCAGGTTATGTAAGAGGCCTCTGTATTGTCTTGCAACTCCGCAGTATGTTTGAAATGACTAGGAAAAAGAAGAGACAAAATAATCAAACAAGCTGATAAAATTTCAGCCACGGGGCCAGCAAGTGGCATGGTGGTTAAAGCACTGGACTTCTACATGGCCGACTGCAGTTCGAGTCCTGGACCTGGAGGCTTGGAAATCACACCAAGCGCATGTACCTATGTGCCTGAAGTACCAAGATGAGCATCCCCCCACAAGGGGTGATTTCTTACTTTCTCTCTCTCACTGGCAAGCACATGTATCCTACGGCAAAAACCTTTTTTTTTTTTTTTTAAAGTAAAAATAAAAATAAAAATAAAAATAACTAACCTATTGAGTTTTAAAAAAAATCAGCCAGATCAAAACCCCTGAGAGTTGTAAGTGAACTCATACAGTCCCGCACGGTAGCAGGGTCGTGTCAGTTAGGCAGAGCTCGGGTCAGGCTTTCTGGGCCATCCGTGAAGCTCAGTATTCCTGGCCTTGGGAGGAGGAACGGAAGCTGGCAGGAGGCATCCCGGCTCCCCTAGCAGGAGAGCCTGAAGGAGCCATGCTGAGCGGACCCTGCTTGGCTGGCTGTGATCTGGCCCGGAGGAGCCCCAGCGCTCAGCCCAGGTGGTGAACACGCAGCACGAGGTAACGGGGGACAGCTTCCTAGGCAGCCCCAGCCCCCAATCTCCATCTTCCTGCTACGGCATCCGACAGAAAGGTGGTTCAAGGACAACAGGGAAACCAGGCCAAACTTTCCAAACTGAAGCTACAGCGGCCGTCGGACTATTCGATTTTAAAAAAGTTTCCGAGTGATTTGGGAGTGTTCTTTGGAGAAGAGTGCCGGTTGTGGATTTATTTTTTTTCCATTGACATGACTCTCCCTCTTTTCTCAGGAGGGCTGCCCGCTGAGTCAAACCCGCTATGTTTAAATCTGCTCACACATCATACGAGGAGAATCGGGGCTTCCAAGTTGGGGGGGTGGGCTGAAACAAAATACAAAGGGTCTTGAAAAAGTTCGTGGAAAATGTGTATTTATGAAATACTACGCATGGGACCAGCAGGTGGCTAGATCCCACATGGCTGAGTGAATGGTTCAAGTCAGCCAGCCGGTGGCTTGAAAATCATACTGGGCAGGTGTGTGTGTGTGTGTGTGTGTGTGTATGTGTGTGTGTGTCCCCCTGTTGCCCAAAAATCGTCTGAGAATGGAGAAGGAATTATGGCATGGCCACCCCCCTGCGGCGGGGGTGGGGTGGGGTGATCTCTCTCCAGTAAGCACGTGCACCCTAAGAGCAAAAACTAAAAGAAAGAAAAAAAAAAGTACTTTCCTCTCTCCGTTTTGGGCACCAGTATAAACTCGTGCTTTAAGTCCCAAAGTTCCAGTCCTTTCTACAGTCCCCCTGTACAGGCTCCTGCTCTCTGGTCACTGACAAAGGAGCCCCAGGAGGTAAGAATCTGAACAAACAAGTGTCTCATGCCTTAGCTCCAGCCAGGACTTCAGTGTAGCTGTGGCCCAGGGCGGCGGAGGGAGGGGACAGCCAACAGGAAAGCCACGCCTCGAAGAGGAACACTCAGGCCTGGGCTTGAGCCAAGGGAGGCCGGTCGGCCCCAGCGGGGTGTCCAGGTGGTCCAGGAGGGCTGGCTTCCCTTCAGAGAGCGAACGCTCCAGGGAATCAGCCTATGCAGAGGAAGCTCGGGCAATCGTGGAATCGGGATCGGGGTCCTCAGAGGTGGAACGCCAGTCACATGGGCCTGCCCAGCACCCACAGTCCAGTGACGCTTCCGGGCTGGGAGCCCGTGGTGCTGCCTCCATGCTGGTCAGACCCTGCACGTCTCCAGGTATAGGACTTACACTGTACAGTCGGCCAGGCTAGATCCAGCCGCCACAACTACCACGCCACTTGGCAGGCCCCGCCTGGTGACATTTTGAAAACTGCAAGGTTCAGGACCAGCACAGGGCGTAATGGTTATGTCGCTGGACGCCCACACAGCTAACTGTGGTTCGAGTCCTGCACCTGGAGGTTGAAACTCATGCTGAGTGTGTGTGCATGCATGCCCAAATCTCGAGAAGAGACAGGTGGAGAGAGGGTTGTGGTGGGTCATTCTCCCCGGGGATGATTTCTTGCTTTCTGTCTCTCTGGTGAGCACATGCGCCCTATAGCAAAAGTCTCTCTAAAAAAACAACCCGCAAGGTTCTTACACCCAGACCCTCTTCAGTCTCCTCCTGGTGTCCCAGTTTAGTCCCACCAAAGGGTCTTTCTGGGGCCAGCAGGTGGCATGATGGTTAAGGCAGCTGAATCCCACCACGGCCAACACTGGGATTCAAATCCTGAACCTGGTGGCTTGGAAAATATGCTAGGCATGCATGTACACATGCCCAAAAATCCCAAGAGGAGAATGGAGGGGAAGGGACTGCAGCACGGTCATTCCGCTTGGAGGGTGCTTTCTTACTTCCCTCTCTGTCTCTCTCCCGTGGGCACATGTGCCCCATAGCAGAAACTAAAAAAGGTCTTTTCATGCGTCACAGGGCAAACAGGTCTGCTAGCTCTGCTGAAGAGCTCATTTGCTCTTCTCAATTAGGTCGCTTTGGACAAGTTCTACCTTCTAAATTCTACCGTGCCTAGGTCACGTGTGCACCCGAATGCAGTGACAGTCCTGGGTGTGGGCAGGCCATCTCAGGAACGAGAGGCCTACTGGTTCCTTCCTCTGAATGCTGGACTTTATGATCTCAGTCATTTCCCCTGTTATGACGGGAGGAGGGACAGCGGGAGGGCCGTGGGGTAGGCGAGAACGACACACAGAGACAAGGATCTCGGACAGAGTCCTGCTGTGTCGCAATCCTCCTGCCCCAGCCTCCCAACAGCTGGGATTACAGGTGTGCACAGCCACACCCAGTGTGTTCACATCGGCCCGGAACCCAGCCCAGGCCCCCCATGTGGCCTTTAGCCTTCCGAGTGGTGACACCAACTTAACTGAGAGCCACTACAGTGGGGACGCGGGGGACTGTTCTTTTCTCTCTCTCTTTTTTTAATTTTCCAGTGGGCGTATGCTCGCCAGAGAGAGGAAGAGAGGGAGAGAGAACCCCCAATGGGGTGTGGTCATGCCACAATCTTTTTCTCTCCATTCGTCCCTGCCAGGATTTAGGGCACGCACACAGGCTCACTGTGTTTTTGAAGCCACTGGGACCAGGATTCAAACTGCAGCCAGCCATGTGGGATCTAGCTTTCTACACACAGTGCTTATCCACTGCACAATGTGGCCAGGCCCCGGGCATGGAGGTTAAGTACTGAACTCTCACATGCCTGGCCACGGTTTGAGTCCTAGATCTGATGGTTTGGTTTTTTACTTTCCCTCTCTCTGTCTGCTCAAATTAAACAATAATAAATCAAATTAAATACAAATTATTTTAAAAAAGGGGGGGGGGCAGTATCCCAGGCTCTTATTGGCTCTGGATCAGTGAAGGGCCAGAGGCGATCGCGTCCACCCCGCCTGGGTACTCCCACCTCTGGGGAGCTGAGTCAGAATCCAGCAGACACCTCAGCTGAATGGATTCCTGGGCAGTTTTTCCCAGTGGGGCCTTTGAGGAACCCTTTCTCTGTGGGTCCAACACCACATGCCCTTGGGTTTGACAGCCCCTGGAGGCAAGGGAAGCGCTCTCTTCTCAGAGAAAGAGGAGCCAGTGGTTCAAGTCCAGCCAAATGGCCTGCCCGTCCTCAGTGTCCTCCCTGCGCAGTGGCGAGGAGGCACCTGCCTCAGCTCTGCTGAGATGCACCTTCTGCCCCCGGCTCTGCGGTGACCAGACCTGCTCACAGCACAAGTTGTCCCCAAGTCCCCAATCCCACGCGAACAGAAACCTTGAGTGCAGCTGAGAGGACTCGGGCTGGACCGAGAGCCAGGGCGAGGGAAGGAAGTCTATGCTGGTCTGCGCCGAGGTGGACACGCTCCCCTGGGCCTCCTCATACCCTCTCCCCTTGGGCGTTCCGGGATTAGACCAACCCCTCCTACATTTGTCTAGCCTGGCCTCCAAGACGTGTCTCCGTTCCTGTAAGGCACGGAAGTGGCACTTGCCTCTAGGTTCTGAAAACAGCTGCAGGTGGGAGTCGATGCCAATGAGAAGGCCCGTTTCCCCCGTTTCTCTCTGCCAGGTCCTTCCTTCAGTACCTAGGGACAATGGCCCGCTATCTGGACTTCTGTCACCTATGTCCCCCTTCCTATGCCACTTTTTAAACATTTTCCAAATGATTCAAGGACCTTTACTTTAGGTAACTGCATAAAATAACAGATAACGGGACTTCAAAAAGTTCATAGAACAACTGAAGGGGCCGGCAGGTGGCACAGTGGTTAAGGCAATGGACTCCCACATGGCAGACTGTGGTTCGAGTTCTGGACCTGGCGGCTTGAAATTTATGCCAGGTGCATGTGTATGCATGCCCAAAATCCCAAGAAGAGAGTGAAGGAGAAGGGACCGCATTATGGCCATTCCCCATGGGAGGTAACTTCTCAATTTCCCTCTCACTGTCTCTGTCCCTCTCCTCTCTGGTGGCGCAAGTGCCTTATGCAAAACAAAACAAAACAAAACTAAAACTAAAAAAGAAAAATGGGAGCCAGCAAGTGGTGTAGTGGTTGGCGCTGGACTCCCAACAAGGCTGATGGTGGTTCAAGTCCTGGACTCTGCAGCTTGAAACTCACGCCAGGCACGTGTGCACACATGCCCAAAATTCAAGAGGAAAATGGAGGAAAAGGGACTATGGCATGGTCATCCTCCCAGGGGGTGATTTCTCGTTCTTTCTCTGTCTCTCCTGCGAGCATGGGCGCCCAATAGCAAAAATTTCTCTCCTAAAAATAGAGCATTACTGTATAGATTTATCTGGGTGCAAAAAATTTGGAATCCGCATGGTTTCTTCATAATACGCATTTTCCACGAATGCTCTGACGTCCCCACATATAGCAACCCCCTGCTCTGTCCTCGTCGGTCAGTGCTGGCTCCTGTAGGCAATGTTTACTCCTTCGTATGCTCAGCTGGGGTGGACACGCACCTCTGGGCCTCTCCCTCTCCGTACCCTGCCCTCTGGCATCCCAGGCACTGAGTCACGCCCCAGCCTCTCTCCCTGCCATCTCCTCAGCAGTGTACACCGGCTGGCTGTGGGACAGGCCTGGTCCCCTACCCAGCCACCCCAGCACAGCTGAGTCCAGAGAAGCGGCCGCACCTGCTCGGAGTCACTCACCAGCTTCTGGAAGAGGTCGCCCACCCGCTGCTGATGGCTCCACTGCTGCACGCGGGGGAAGAGCCCGTCGTAGAACTCCTTGTGGATCTCGTAGAGCTCAGGCACTTTGAAGAAGATGGTCTCGATCTGCTGACTCGTCAGCACTGGCTGAGAGGTGGTGGCGGCGGCTTTCAAAGGCTTCATGGGCTGGAAGAGGGCGCAGGGGACAGGTGAGGGGGCACGGGCGACTGGGTCTGCTGTTTGTCAGGTGTATGGCATGACCAGGGGAGACTGTGGCTACATGACATCTGCGCTTTTTGTAAACCTCATAAAACATCAACAGTTCAAAGCAGCGTGGCGGCGTAACTGCGTCTTCCGTCAGCTCCCACTGCCCTGAGAGAGGTCGGGTTATCGCAGAGGTGGCGTGTGCTGACCCTCGATGGGTGTGCTGATGACACCTGGGGAGGGGGCTGTCCCCGGGCTCGGACAAACCCTGGGATTTGTGAGTAAAAAGGTCTTTCTCGGGGCCAGCAGATGGTGCGGTGGTTATATCGCTGGACTCCCACGTGGCTGACCGCAGTTCGTATCTCCTGACCCAGTGGCTTAAAATTCACGCTGGGTTCAGGACCAGCAGTTAGCGTAATGGCTGTATCGCTGGACTCCCACGTAGTCAACTGCGGTTCGTGTCCCAGACCCGGTGGCTTAAACTCACGCCGGGTGCGTGTGCATGCGTACCCAAGATCTTGAGAGGAGAATGGAGGAGAAGGGATTGCGGCGTGGCCATCCCCCCTGCGGGGTGATTTCTCACTTTCTGTCTCTCTGTCTTTCTCTGTCTGGCGAGCGCACGCGCTCTATAGCGAAAACCTCTCAAAAAAAAAAAAAATTCATGCTGGGTGCATGTGTGCGCATATCCAAGATCCCTGGAGGACAAGGGATTGCAGCATGGCCATCCTCCCTGGGGGGTGATTTCTCATTTTCTCTCTTGCTGTCTCTGTCTGTCTCCCCCGGCATATGGCAAAAACCTCTTAAAAACAGCCTTTCCATCGCCCATCGCCCCCTATGCCCAGCGCCGCTCTGACGCCCTCTCACCAGCAACAGTGCCTCCAGGTGGCTCAAGTACGTCTCCTCGCTAGCCAGGATGCCAGACAGGACCCATTTTCTCATCTCCAAGCCCTTTTCCAAGTCCAGTTCACTCTGCAGGAGAAAGGGACAGCAGTCAGACCTGGCATGGTCACGTCGGTCCCTCTCAGAGAGGAGGGCTAGCAGCTTGTCGCCTTCTGAACAGGCCCCCAGAAGGCCCACGAGGAATGAGAAGGGAGGCTTGGGAGCCCCAGCGTGCATGCAGCCGCTCGCTCGTGGTCACCTGGCAAAGCCAAGGGCCTCCTGGAATTCTCTACACACCGGGAAATGGGCAGTTTGGTGCTGAGGAGGACGGGCGAAGCCTCCCTCCTGCCTGTGACCAAGGAGTGGCTGCCCTGACCCAGTCTAGGAAGCAAATAGTGTTCTGACCCGAGTGGGTGCAGCACAGAGAAGTTCAAAGGCAGCCCCAAAAGGGGCTGAGCCAAGAGGGGGTCCAGAGCCCACCACACCGCGACCCCAACTCCTGCAGCCACCCAAGCCTGCCCTCCCCACAACTCACCTGGTGTCAGCCTCACCCGAGCCTCTGGCTGCCACTGACACCTGACCCTTGGACCAAAGATCACGGGGTAGCACCGCCTTCCTCCACGCATACTTCCTCCCTGTCACAGGGGCCGGAGCTGGGGTGGCTGCCACCTGCCCAAGGGGACCGCTGTCCCCCAGGCTCAGAGCCTGTGCCCCTCACCCTCCTTTCTAGACTCTGCTTTGCAGCCAGAACCCGCTCGTAAATGGGCTTCAGCAACATGGCTGCCGAACATGCAGACGTCTCTTCTAACAGTCCAGCACAAGGCTGCTGGCTCGGAACACTGTGGACACGCCCTGGACGTCCACACGGGGCAGGAAGTCTGCGCTCCAGGGCGCCTCATTCTAATCCTGGTTATGATGGTGCTACAGGTGGACTGTGTCACCCCCAGCCAAATTCCAGCTCTAATCCCCGGGACCTCGGAATGCCACCACACTGGCAGATGGGGCTGGCAGTCGCTGACCACTGTTCCAGTCTTGGACCCGGTCACTTGAAAATCACGCCAGGTGCCGTGTGTGTGTGTGTGTGTGTGTGCGCGCGCGCGTGCCCAAGATCTCGGGGGGAGAATGGAGGAGAAGGGATTGTGGTGTGGCCATCCCCCTGAGGAGTGAGTTCTCACTTCCTGTCTCTGTCTCTGTGTCCATCCCTGCCTCCAAGCCCCACCCCCAACAATGCATGCACCCTAAGGCAAAAACCTTTAGGGAGAAAAAAAGATATATTTAAGTCAGAATAAACCCAACAGGGTGGACGTTAATCCAGTATGACTTGTATTCCTTTTTTTCTTTTTGAGAGATTTTTGCTACAGGGTGCATGTGCTTGCTGGAGAGACAGAAAATGAGAAATCATCCCCAGAGGGGATGGCCGCACTACAATCCCTTCTCCTCCATTCTCCTCTCAGGATTTTGGGCATGCACACATACGCATGAGTTTTAAGCTACTGGGTCCAAGACTCAAACCGTGATCAGCTACATGGGAGTCCAGTGACGTAACCATTATGCCATCTGCTGGTCCCTGACTGGTACAGTTTTTTTTGAGAGGAGTTTGCTATAGGGTGTGTGTGCTCGCCAGAAAGACAGAGAGAGACAGAGAGAGAGAAAGCGATAAATCACCCCCCAGAGGGGATGGTCCCTTCTCCTCCATTCTCCTCTCGGGATCTTGGGCACGAACACACACGCGCCCTGTGTGAGTTTAAGTCACCGGGTCTGGGACTCGAACTTTGGTCAACTACATGGGAGCCCAGCGACATAGCCACTACACCAAGTGCTGGTCCCACTGACTGGTGGTATTCTTATAAGAGGAATTAATGTGGACATATATGTGCACACAGGGAGAGAGAGAAGACCATGAGAAGACACCAGGAGAAGCCTTGTCAAGCCACCAACAAGCCAGAGAAGAAACCAGACTTGCAGATATCTTGATGGTGGACTTCCAGCCTCCAGAACTGTGAAAACACATTCCTGCAACACGGCCCGTGGAGCTCTGTCAGGGCAGCTCTATGATACTACATGAAGGAAAAGGCAATAAAAACTACCATCTGATTTCCTGGCCACTCCCTGCTCCCTGCTCCCCAGCCCCTGGTGGTGGTGGAGGTTGGCTGTGTCCGCAACGTAGCCTCTGTGCTACCCGAGGCTGACATCGCGCTCTCTCTGCCCAGTCCTGTGCCAACCAGCGCACCCTGTGGTCGGAGGGAGGCGTCAGCATGGGGAGAGACCCAGTGTCCACGTGAGGCAACGTGACAGCCCTCAGGCATGGAACAGGAGCGTGGCCCCTTCAATTGCTTGCTCTCCTAAACCACTCAGGGAAAATCAGTAGTTGGGGGTGGGAAGTGGGAGTGGTGGACAGGACTCCTCCCCCTCAACACGGCGGACACTAGGGATTCGGGGGTGGGGGGCTGTCCTATCCCTTGTAGGAATGCTGTGCAGCACCCCTGGCCACTACCCCCACTGCACGTCATAGTAGCTTCCCCCACCAGTTGTCACAGCTACAAATGTCACACTCGAATCACCCCAGAGTACAGGTGGGTTTGAAGAACCGGACTGAGGCCAGGCCTCACAGTGACCCAGCAGAGTGAGAAACCCGGACCCCAGTGTGGTCATTCCATGACCCCTGTCTCTGGGGTCCTTTTTCAGTGCCCTGGCTTGGTGGAGGCGGGGTGGGAGGGACTTCCTGGTACCTCTGGAGGCAGGTCCTGTGGGAGGAGGCAGGGCCAGGAGTTGGGGGATGAAGCTACAGAGTCAGGTCTGCCTCAGTGCACCCCATGGTCTCTGGCAAATGCCCTCCCACCCCACGCCTGGGTATAAAACGGGGGAGAAGCGTCAAATCCTTGTGTGTCCACTCAGACTCCAAAAAGGCCTTGTTGGGACACCTTTTATTTTTTTATTTGCTGTAGGGCGCGTGTACTCACCAGAGACAGACAGAGGAGAAGTGAGAACGCACCCTCCTGGGGGGGGGGGGCACACTGCAACCTGTT